GGTGGTGCAGGCTCCCACCCTGGGGGTTTTTAAGAGGAGGTTGGATGACCACCTTACTGGGGTCATTTGACCCCAGTGCTCTTCCTGCCATGGCAGGGGGTCGGACTAGATGATCTGCTCAGGTCCCTTCCGACCCTTGAAACTATGAAACTATTGCAATTTTTCTTTTTTATAAATTTATCTGGGGCACCCAATTGCTTCTGACAGTCTCAGACTACTTCATATCATAGTTTCAACTCTTCTTTCCTTTCTCTCCTGTCTACATGGTACCAATTCATTAATATTTTAATTACCAAATGGAACCTAATTATAATTGAGAACCCTTCCATTCAGCATTGCTTCTAGTTTATCCTGCTTAATTTCTCCACAATCCTCCTATTTGTGACTACACTGTGAAACATGAGTGCCCCTCAGTTTATTAAAACCTTCCTTATCAACTTCTGTTTCTCCTACAATGGTGGCTAGAGCTCTCTTTTGACTTACTAGCTAATCTCACTTCTTACCAAGTATTGCCTGTTCCTGAGTTAGCTCCTGAAACCGTTCACGCAGGTTCTCCAATTCCACAACGAGGCGACGTTCAGATTCTTCTTTCAGATTCAATGCCTCCTCTAGGGCAGCTTTCTCTGCAACATAGCCTTCAATAATACCTTAAACCAAATGTTAAACAATTCTTATATAAAGTAGTATTCACTATGACCAAGAGGAACAAACATTTTCTTTTAGTTCAAGTAATATGACTTGGCCTCAGCTGAAACCACAGCTTGAGAGACTTTAAGTAGTTCCTGTATGACAATCTGCAGAGTCATTCAATGTACAAGTTATGAACTGTGGTTGATTTTATTAAATTACTTTATCACAACTCAGAAGGAACCCACAGTTTGCTACCAGAGCCAGGTTATATATCTCACAGACCAATGACACTGAAGGATCATTAAACTTTGATGACTGCTATTTTTCATAGGAGGGCACCTTAAGTGAGTTATCTGAAGAGAAGAAAACAAGTTTTTTCCAACTTCTCTGCAGAGGACTGAAATTTGAAGGACTGTAGTTTGTCAGGAAACAGAAAAAATATCATGATTAGAACATAAAAGAAACACAAAGCTGAGAGACTCAGGAGTGACCTAGGGTAGGACCCACAGGAGGAAAAATGGTAGTCTTTTTGAAGGGTATCAGCCCAGGCTAAAGGAATGTGGCTAAAGGAGAAAGGTGGTGAGCAAACTACATGATCTGAAATAGGAGTCTTACCTGGAACAGAGTCCAAGAAAGGGAAATTCAAATTCTCAAGAGACACTGACCCAATTCTGAAGAAAACTCCAGTGGCAAGAAAAGTAAGATAAGAAATGGTGTAAAAGTGTTTTATTGTTCTGTTTGAATCCATGCATTTCTTATGCAATGAAGGAAAGAATAATTGGCTTGAAACTAGGAATGTAAGTTGTGTTAAAAAAATTATCCATTTAACCTCCTCTAATTCTATCAGTTAACTGTTTAACTGATAACACATATTTATAGTTTAGTGACCTCCTGCAGGAAGGGCCCCAGCCCCTGATGTCTTTACTGTGCACCTGGTGCTGCAAAGGGCCCAGACTGCTAGCGGGCAGCTGTGGAGGAGCCACTAGGGGGCATTGCCCAGATGCAGATCTGCACTTCCTCTTGCCCCCACAGGCAGGGGCTGGGGCTGCAGATGGCTGAGGACATCTCCTGTACCCAATTCCCACTGCCACAGGGAGGGAGGTACCAGCCCCCCCTCCCCCCAGGGGTCAGTTGAGGCCTTCCTGCTACAGTAGCGAGACTCTCTGCCCTGTGGTGGATCTGCCTGGTGTCCCTGCAGGGGCAACAGGTGGCAGGCAATGGGCTCCCTGAGCCTCCTGCTGCATTTATGCTGCCATGGCCTGGACCTGGAAGTCCCCTCCACGCTGCTGGACTGGGCACTCCCCAGCACCCTGGTTGTAAGAGGGGTCCGGTCCCAACGGGTGAGCCTCTGCCAGGCATGTTGCATCCTTCCCCCTCCTGCCCGTGGTGCTGGGGATGCGTGGAGCCTGACTCAGCCCTGAGGTAGGGCTGAGCACATGGCTGCCTCAGCCCAAGGAGGCATCATGGCAGCTGAAGCAGGCAACGTCAGGTTTGAGGGGGCACTGCTGGCCCCTCATGCAGTACGCATAGCCCCAAGGCATTCCTGAGGGGCAGTGGACCAGCAGGGCAGTACAGCAGGAAGCCCAGGGGGAGCGTTAGCAATAGTGACCTCCCAGGCTAGGGCTGCTGCACCACTGCCCCTCAGGAACACCCTGAGGCCGCACTCACCACAAGGCACTGGTAGCAACCCCTCAGTCCCGACGCTGTCTGTTCCAGCTGCCATGGCATGGTGGGAAGTGCAGGGAGCCCATTTTCTGTTGCCCACTGCCCTGCCCAAACCCTGCCACTGCTGCCTGGCACCTCCCTCCCCATGGTGGCAGGATCTGGGCACAGGAGAGCTCTACAGCGCCAGCTCCATCCACAGCCCCAGCCCCTGATCCCAGGGGTCAAGGAAAGCCATGGCTCCGTAGCTGGGCAGCGCCCCTCTAGTGGCTCGGCTGTGCCCACAGCCCCATACCTGCTGCCCGTGGCTCCTTGCTAATGGCCCTTATGTCTTCACAGGCACACAGTGAAGATATGAGAGCCTAAGGCCGTTCCTGCCAGAGGTCACTAAACAGTAAATGGTAAGCAGTAAATAGGATAAATAAAACTGTTGTTTAACCACTTACATCCCTACTTGAAACCTATGTTAAATCTACATGTTACATGCATCAGTATCATGTCTTTGATAGAGTAATCTAAACCAATGTACCCACAAGGCTGGCATTCTGGGAAAGAGCTTATGCTTCACTGTGGAAACTGGGGGAGATGGCACAAGGCACAGGGCCAAAGCAGTAGAAACAGGTCTCAGCTCTTCAAACTGGGAACTAAACAAAGGAACTGCACCAAAGGAGGATGTCTGGAGCAAGAGCCTGGGCTTTTCTCACAAAGAGAAAGCTTAAATGCAAACAGACATATTTGGAGACGGTCGAGGGGAGCTGGTCAAGTTTGGCATCCCTGGCATACCTTGTCATCAAATATTGCTTTTAATGTCATGTTGGGATCATCTACAATTAACAGTGGATTTTGCTAGTTAGGAAGCCAAACATATCCACTTCTCCATTATATAAAGCAACCATTTGGAGCTAAGTGGGAAGGCAAAATAACTTTAAGTTCTGACATTTTTTTGCATAGACTATCCACCATGAGTACAAGACCAAACATTGCTCTACATCAGCAAATGTAATCTTGATGGAAAGAGGTAAATGCCACCTTTATGAAAAGAGAGAAATATGTTTTAAGTGGTTCAGAGATTTGGAATACAAAAGGATGGATCCACAAGTAGGCAAGGCAAGCAAAGAAAGCATAACACATTATACATAATCATAAAGTTCTCTTGCAAAGCAGTCTTTTTCAAATAAAGCATGTGAAAACCAAATGATACCTGAAAATGCAGGATCAGTTTTGTTTCCTTACCTTCTGCTTTATGAAGCTTTAGTGCCAGTTGATTCTTTGCTTCACTCTCCTCATTTAGACACTCCATTAGTTCCTGGTGCTGACCAACCACTTGGGCAGTTTCCTGATTTCTACGGCTAAATTCTTCCTCAAACTGAGCATGAATTTCATGAGTTTTCTCCAACTTAAAAATAAAAACTATATTGTAAGATCCAGAACACACAATAACTATAATAATACTGTGAGCTCTGATAAAAGGAAACTTCTTAAGATCTTAATGTGTGAATGTATTTATCCAAATACTCCTATCACAGTAAGTATTACAGCAGTAATTATAGTTTCATAGTTGTCAGGGGCTGGAAGGGACCTTACAGATAATCGGGTCTAGCCCCCCCCTGCGCTTGGGCAGGAAAGACTGCTGGGATCAGATGACCCCAGCACCAAATTACAAAGAGGTTTGCACCTTACTTGCTATGTATTCTTAACAGATTTTACTACAGGGTTTGGTGTTTTAGTACTTTTGTAGCCTACCAACTTTGAAGCTTTAAAACACCATATTTCTATACAATCCAGTATCTTATGGCTTGATTCTGTTCTCAGTAAAATTAGTTTTGCCGCTGCTTCTGATGAAGTCAAAGTGAGCATTTTTCTGTGTATTGCTTAACTCAGTACAAAATTCTCAATATGTCATCACTAAAATGCTTATAGGCTTGCTTGGAACTGCAGAGTAGGCTTGCTCTGCAGTACAGAGTGGAATGGGGATATCCCGTACTTCTGAGCTTTGCTGGTTCCCACATGGGACCAGGAAGGAATTTTCCCTGTTACTGTTTGCTAGTGGTGTCTGGGGTGTTTTGTTTTGCCTTCCTCAGAAGCATTGGGTGTTAGCCACAACCAAGGCTATGGATTTTTACAAGCTCTTGATGGGAATTAAATAACTCAAATTCCTGGCTAGAGGATTGTGCTTCTCATTCAGAGTCAGACTCATGGCTTCATTTGGTATCAAAAAGGAATTTTACCCCAGAGTTAGAAAGGCTCATAGGTATGTGTTAAGGCAGGTGTGAGAGATCTGGTCTTACCTGTTTAGTTGATTCTGTAACTAACTCCAGAAGTTTTTCGACAGCAGTACGCAAACGGTGACAAAATTTCGGGATCATTTCTTCATTTTCAAAGGCAAGATCTGGGTTCGCAAAAATGCTTTCACATAAATACTGGCTCAGTTCAGACCCCTCATCAGTTACTGCAGACACCTGGTTGTGTTCTGTAAGAGTCACATCAAGCAGCTCACCTATCAAAAATAATTTGGTTAATTGGAAAAAACTTACTCAAATTATTCTAGAACTAGCCATTCATTACACAACAGTTTGGTGTTACTCAAACAGTGATATTGCTTGGGTCTGAGTCAATATGCTGAACACATCAATACAAATATATTCTTTAATGATTAAATCCTGACATACTCCTTCACAAGGATTTGAAGATATTTTTGAATGGTATAAAACCACTTGAAGATCCCCAACAACAACAGTTATACCAGTAATGAATTTGGACCAAGTAAAAATAAACAATCTTAAGATGCAGGCAGCCTATCTATAGTACTTCATGCTGTTATATCAGGGGTGGGCAAAATATGGCCTGCAGGCTGGATCCAGCCCACCAAGGGATTTTTATCTGGCTCAAAGCAGGTCCCTCAGTCCTACCCAGACAAAAAGTAGAGGGCAGCCCAAGCTGTGGTACATGCAGCCAACTGCACCTAGGCACACAGCAGAGTTGGGGCAGTGTGGCAGCCAGATGGCTTCTTCTGGCTGCCACCACCTCACCCAACCCCACTGCATAGGCATCCCACCTCATCCACCCCACACCCACCACCAGGGTCACTGGACCGGGCAGGCAGGGTCTCCACAGAGACTGGCCTGGAACCTACGTAGGCAGGATGCGCTCGGCTGGGCAGATCCAACAGGGCCACAGGTGGGCAGGGAGCAGCAGCCAAGACAGTGGGATGGACAGGGTCAGGATCTTAGGGTGAGTTGGGGCTGAGGTCTGGTGTAGACCCATGATCTGCTGCCCACACATCCTTGCAGTTCCACGGGCAGGGACGTGCCAGAAACAGATTGCGGCTCTGCCCCAGGCCCTGGCCCCACACTGTCACTGCCACAAGATCTTGGCCCTAGCCCTGGCCTTGCACAACCACCCCACTCCCAGATGCAGCTCCCAATCCACCCATGGCCCCATCTTATCCACCTGACCAAGCACACTCTGACCACAGGGATCTCGTGCTGGTCTCCCTGGAGACCTTAAGGTCAGGGCTGGGATTGCTGGGCGGTGACAGTACAGGGCTGGGTACCAGGGCAGAGCCACAGAGGGAGTTGTGGTGAGCAGGCAGGGGGTGAGTGATGATCAACAATTCACCAAGTATCCCTAAGTGGCCCTCCAGCCCAAATAATTGCCCACCCTGTGCTATATACATATATGTATACATACACACAGATCCATGTCCCAGTGCAAGAACTGTTTAGCCATTCATTGTCATGATTCAGGCTGGCTGGTTATGCTACTCTAAAACAATTCATGTTCTATAAAGAAGCTGAGAAGCACTACTTATATTACATATAAAAGGACCTGTCCAGCCCTACATTGCCATAATCTGGATTGTCACAGAAAGACAATTTAATTAGGAAAACGTTGGAAAACTCCATCTTAACTGTGGAGAACCCCACTGGGTAAATACGAATGCACTGTCATGCAATATATCTGAGTACAGCTTTAGCAACATTATAGAACAGCAGCTTTAAGAGAAAAAAAAAAAACCCACACCTCCAATGTTCTATTATCAAGGTGATATACTCACTCTTTTCCATGTCATGCTTCTCTTTAGTTTTGAAGTGCTGCATGAATCCCATTTCTTCCATCAAACTACGGCTTTCTCTAGAATCTCCAGATGCCAGACTGTCATCAAGGCAGATACCAATCTTTTTACAGATAAGGTCTTCTGTGGCTATTATGGCTTTTACTGTTTCCATAAATGATTTCAAAAGTCGCTGGTGGGAGTCTTGCATTTTTTGCCTAAAATACAATATATTGCAAAATAGAACATGCTTGCATTAGTTATGCTCAAAGGGTCATGTTCTAATAAGTTAAATTCAAGGCCTCTTTGCAGGATTGAAAGATAGTGACACGGCATGTATTCTGCCACGTTCTGAGGTTTACCAACAAAAAGTCATTTGAATCGCAGAAATACAAAATATTTTCCTAAGGGTGGCCACAGTCAAAGCCTATACAGCCGAATTTGACCATGTGTCACAAGCTTTCAAATGTGAAATAGCTGTTTGGATGTTTATACACTGTGGTGCTACCTGAGACTTCATAAGATAGTTGTGAGCTACACTGTATAATGTTTCTAAGAGTCACAGTCAATGATTTATAGGGCAATAACTCAAAACAACTTCAAAATCTGGCAAATTAAAATTAAGAAAGTATAAGCATAAAAACAAATTCCAGCAACTTTCAAACATTACTTATACTAAGTTTAGGACCCTAAATTAAACTCACCTGTACTGATGCACAGTTATTACCAACCCCATGTGTTTGTAAATGTCAAAAGAAATCAACTGTTTGACACTTTCTACTAAAATGTAAATGTACAGAAGCTGTACAGTGTTTCCAAGGCATACCATAACATACAGTACACTTATTCTTACATTAATCACCAATGACTTCTCTACAAGGTCCTAAGAATACTTCAGTGTAACCAGATGTAAACTGTAAATGGTAAGAATCTATATTGCTCTTCCACATACAGCCAGAAAAACCTTAACTACTTCTTTTCAAACTGAGCTGATCTGTATGTCCATAAAGTATTAATATCACAGCTAACAAAGTTGGTGGCAGGATGCCAGTTGACATTTTCAAGGTTCCCAAGACTAACATTTTAGCAGAAAAAAATAAGATGGTCTAAGCCACATAGGTTTATTTGGCAATTAGCAAACTGGCCAATATCCCACTGGTCAGCTAATCCTGCAAGTGCATCAGTCAGCTGTTGGCAGAAGCCCTCCTTCTCTTCTGCAGGGGTGAAGTAACTGCTGGCAGAGACAAGGATTTCGTTGCCATAGGAGAGCTGTAAGAGCAGAGGCCCAAGTGCTCTTGATAAGGAACCTTGGAGTATGCAGCAGACTGTTTAGTGCACAACATGCATACAGCTTAAGGAGTTGTCAGGTAAAGCATGAGATACCTTTAATATGGAAAGCAAGCAGTGCCTTTAACATACAAAAACAGGATTCAGCAAATGGCTGCTCACATTACCGTGGGCAAGTTAAATAGCTTAGCACAGTATAAATGCCTGGATATGTTTAAAAGAGAATGGCAATATTGTCATTTCCCTATGTTTAGTTTAATTTGACATAGTTGCTTTTTTTTTATGAAAACCCAGATATAAAAACACTACTCACTATATGTCCCAAGATGTACTAACCTTTCATTCTGGGATAGGTCAATATCAGATCTCAGCATAGCTACTAAGTTCTCTCCTTCCTGGTTCTCTCTGTCCCGCCGCCGTAGGAGAGTCTCCAGCTCAGAGTTAGTTTCCTCAGTCTCATTACTCAAAGACTGCACCTTTTTTTCTAACTATGGGAAATGTAACGATGATGTAAGAGACAGAAAGCCAGTCATTTTCACCAAACAAGTAACATTTTACAAGTGAGCTTCTACTGCATCACAATTTACAAAAAACAAACAGAAAGTAGCAATCTATTAGGTCACAAACAACTCTGGAGATTGTAAGTGGAACCCAAGCGTCCAATACCACTGGAATCAAAAGGAGTTCAAAAAGACTAAAAAGTGGTAGTTATCCTTTTTTCCATTTCTAGTTTGTTTTTTAAAGACACCATTACATGTACATGCATAGTCCCAGGACACTAAAGTAAATGTTGGCAAGATTTTACGCAAAACATCCGAATGGCACTCTTCAATTAACTTTTGCATTTGTTTTTCTCCATTCATGCTTCAAGTACAGAAATTAATGCTGTGGCAGAGTTACCTGGTGAAGTGCACAATCTTCAACAGTGAAATGACTCAACCAGAATATCTCTCATCCAACCATCTTCCATTCTTTAGGTGTGAAAACCTTTTTGTCTACAAAACATCATTTCTTCTTTGCTCAGTTCACTTCACTATGTTGTTCTTTATAAAACAAACAGCATTTTTTTCAACTCCACACAGAATCTAGAACATTATCTGCATTAATAATGTTCCAGCTGATCACCTGAACAGAACAACAACTCTGCAACAACTCTGCATCAATGCAAATCAAGTACTTAACTGAACTGGGGGAGGGCAAGAAAAAAGTATTCCATTACTCTGCCAATATTCTGCCAGATTATTCATTAAATGCTGCATGAACAGCATGAAATACTAACACATCTTTTTCAGTAAAGGAAGTTCTCGAAGTTACTTTCCAGCCAGAAAACAAGTTTCATAGCAGGAACGTTCTGAAATACTATTGCTACATTTTCATCCGCAAGATTAGAATAAACCCTGGCATCTCCTGAATCATCAGAAAGCAGCACCACAACTAAGCTTGTATTTCATTCTTTTTCATTTCTAATCCTGACAACCAAGTTTCACTTTTAAACCAAATAAACCAAACAATTTACATTGCACTTAATTGGGCAATTTAGGCACCTCAACATACACAGCCTGCTACCATCTTCTAAAGTTTGGGGTTTGGGGGGAAAAGGGGTCTTGATTATATTTAGAATCACAGAAAATTAAGGTTACAAGGGACTTCAAGAGGTTATCTAATCCATCTCTCTGCTCAAAGCAGGACCATCTCCAACTAGATCATCCCCCCCACGTGTGTATTGTCACACTCCTTTCCGTGTAACAGGGAACCCCCTTTGTACACTCCCCTTCTGGACACTGATATAACAGAAGCCTCTTCTTGCCAGCACCCCCACCTTCTGTGCATTTCTTTTTCCTTCTAAGTATTGGCAGAGACCTAGCACACGCATTGCATGAGTGTGGCAAGACTTGGAGCAAGCCAGAAAGCTGAAGTGGCTTTCTGTAGAAGAAACCTGCAAACTACATCTACACATTAGTTGAGCCAAGTGTCACTAAAGAAAACAAAAGAACTAAATTACCCACTTCAAAGCAAAGCCTCTAAGATACAAGACAAGCCAAGGTACATTGAAAGCATGACTGTAAATATATCTTGGTGAACACAATCCCCTTTTGATTAAGACCTATTTCCCAAAGCAAACTTCCCATATCTGTCTAAAGTTTTATGCTAAATCAGTCTACGTGGCTACATCTAACCTAACTCACTTACTGTCCCCAGTGGCCTTTGATCCTCACTACCTCACACTGCATTTTTATATATTTCTCACAGTGCATTTTATTTTTTACCTGTCTCATCTTTGACCTGGCATTCTGTATTTTATGTTTTATACCTTTTAACAAGTGTATTTTTTAGAGTAAGTCATACCTTCTTGTATTACTAAAAATAATTATCATAAGAATGCATTGGAATTGTAATCACTGGAATTGTATTGCTGTATTGGGCTGGTCCCATCCCCCACATAAAATGTGATTATGGATGAATCAGTAGATAATTGAATGACAAAAGCAAGAGCTTCTGGCTGTTAATTGACAATAGCCTAGCCACAGGAACTTACCATTACAAAATTCTACTCTACAAGCCATTTTAAGCTAATCAAGCCACCTGGAACCTGCAAGGACCCAGCCATTGAGTCAATCTAGTCAAGTGTAGACTCCCAAAATTACACCAATCAGTCGGAACCCCCAATGACTGTGACTGACAACTGTCATGTACTACTCAAGATCCACGTAGGAAAACAACCTCCAAATTGGACAGCCAAGATGATGCTGGGGGATCACAGAAGTCTGCCAGAGAGGGATAAAAGCCAGTGAAGCGTGACCCTCAGTGATGCCCCCCTCATCCAGCACCCAACTTATTGAGACAGAAGGACAAGTAGGCAACCCTCTTCTGGAGAAGACATCACCTTGGAGGAAGCTGACCATCAACAGCAGACTCCAGCACCCTGGACAGGGATAAACCAACATTGGTGCTACACTACTACGGCAGCAATTGCGTGTGCAAGTATGCATATGTGTGTGTGTTAAGGTCGTTAGTACCTCTCATAACTCAAAGTTTGCCTTTCGGATTTTATTGGTAACTTCACATCCCATACAATAAATTAGAATTTATTATGATCCTGAGTTAGTCCTTTGTAGCCAATATTCCTATAGCCCTTACTTCCATGCAAACACTCTTGTGTTTGTTTTTTGTGAGATTGTTGTTATATTTCACCAGATGCCAGAATATCATTAACTATAATATAATCTAAAGAGATTTTTAAAAGTCACTAAAAATAACCGGGATTACAAATTCATTTTTACAAAGTCATGGCCACACTGAACCAGAGCACCGTACTTCAGTGGCTGGAGAAAACATTCCTCATAGCATACTGACTAACAGGAACAGCCCACAATACCTTGAGAACTAGTTAAAATAAACCCATCAGTATATAATAGAGTGACAGACCTTATCCATACATACAAATATGGAAAGCTAGTTTTAAAACATAAGGCAACAAAAGGACAATTAAAATCTAAATCTAAACATTTTCAAATTTACCTGGATTATTTTATTAGTCTTTTCTTGGAGCTGTACTGATAATGCCTCTCTCTCTTTTTGGCAAAGGACCCGTGCCTCTTCTGCTTCTTGTACCAGCACATCTTCTTTGTTATGCAAGGCAGCCTTCTTTTCAGCTTCAAATTCCTCCTGTATAAAATTTAAAAAAAAGACATTTGTAAAAAAGAACACTAGACAAACCACAAATAACTAATTTATACAAATACAATTCCAGTTTAACAAGAACTATATCACTCTGAAGAGCATTTAAGATGATGAAGGGACTATTTGGAGATGCCAGAAAGACATTTCCTGTACTGTTCTCAACAAACTTATGTAACTTTGTATTCTCAAAAGCATAGATACTTCATCAAGTTCTCTGTTAAGATGCAAGACATGGTAACAGCATTAAAAGAGTACAGGTGGGCATGCCACAAAGCCAGCAAGAAGAGCAGATGCTTGTAACTTCAATTGTTTAAAAAAAAGTGTCCTTACTACTGCTTCTTAAAGATTACCTGGTCAAGAACACAGCACTTCCAGAAAAACTATAAGGGATTAGATTTGCTAATGTCATACAGCTGTGTCAATACCAGACAGTGCCTTCTAGCAACAATATTGGGAATGATGTCACAATGTTGTAAACCAGAGGTGGGCAAAATGCGGCCCGCCAGGCCATTCTATCTGGCCTGCGGGGCCCCTAAAAAATTTGGAAAATTAATATTAATCTGCCTTGAGCTGCCTATCATGCGGCCCTTGATGGCTTGCTGAAACTCGGTAAGAGGCCCTCTGCCAAAAATAACTGCCCGCCCCTGTTGTTTGATACTGGGAGATTTACCCATACCATTTCAATAGTATCATTTTCTAGATCACCAAGTCACGGATTTTATAGAAGCAGTTACAAGGAAACACCTACTGAAAACTGACATGTATTAAAAAAACAAAACAAAACCACAAACTTCTTTTAAACTCAGATCTCAACATTAAAACTTATCCCAACCAATGAAGCTTCAGTTGAAATATATTTGAAAGAAATTAATTATAACTGATATTTTTAAAGCTTCTTCTTTTGAGATAGCCAATGCTGACAGACACTACTGATGGTATTATATTTAGTCTATCTGCAAACTAGTTTAGAATCTCACATACACAGAACTGAGAATTTGGTATAAATGTATACCAAGCTGTCATCGAATAGAATAGAAGGCTGTGCAAATTCAGTTATAATCAAATGATACTCTCAAATCTATTTCAAAGGATGTTCTTCCTGAGAAATCAAAGAACTTTTTTTCATTGTTTCAAATACTAAAATGAATAGAATGAACAGAACCCTCTTAATAGAAATATTGTGGTTGTAACATATACATAAGAATAATGATTCAAAGCCAAGATTAACATTTAATCCTTAAGAACATTTTACAGTTTATAGCATTTTATGCATGTATTTCAGATTAAAATATTGATCTCTGTAAAATGCCTAAAACCCAACCACAAATATAGGTGTTAAAAGACAAAATGCCAGCCTTACTACTTAGTTTATTTTTTCAGTATTGCTCAGATCGTTCTCCAACTCAGTATTGTTCCCAAAATTGCAAAGTACATGAAAAATACTTAATAAAAAATACGTCTTTCATACTAAAGCCAAAAAAAGTAAAACAAAAGGCGTCATTTTAAAAGACAGACTCTCATGTAGACCACTTCACCTCCCACTTAGCAAGTAATCCTCAGGCCAATACAATAGTTGATTACCAGGAATCCTGGTTTTCTATTTCCCACGGAAAAATGGAGTAAAACACAGATTTTCCCCCTTACTGGAATAAGCCACAGATTTCTCATTTTAGCAAAGAAACCTGCGGATTTTGCAGTTTTGCAACAACTGCTCTGCAGACTGGAAGAGCTGCAGCCTGCAAGGGTTTCAGGGGAATGGAAGAAGGGCAGTCAGGCAGAGGGCGCCACGCACACACATATGCACATGGCTACCAGGCAGCCTGGAGAGCAACTCCCACAGGTAAGCTGGGGGAGAGGGGATTGAGTTCCCCAATAGAGAGGGAGGGAGTTGGGCAGGGCTGGGGCTAGTGCCCAGCCGAGCAGCACATAGGGCTTGGGGCCCAGGGCCACAATGCATGGCTGCAGGGCCCCAGCAGGGAGAGAGACTGGGGGGTGGAGCTGGCTCCCTGCTGCTGCGTGCACTCCTGCGGGGGGGGCACATGCCCCCCAGATGTGTGCGGGTGGAGCCAGGGGTAGGCTACAATTTCAGGCTTCTGGCTTGCCGCCCTCCCCCAGAGCCTCCACAGACCAGTGTGTACAACCCAGCACTGCAGGGTACAGTGCAGCCACGCAGAAAAGCTGCTTGCCACCATGAGCTCTTCACTGCCCTGGTGACATCCCGTGCGCGCAACCCTGTGCTGTGGCCCCCACTCACGCAGGGAAGTATCACCAGGCCACCACGGTGTTTGCAGCAGCAAGCAGCTTTCTTGTATGGCTGTGCTGTGCTCTGCAACACCGGGTTGCACACACTGGGCTGCAGCAGCCCCAGGGGAGGGCAGCAGGATGGGAGCCCAAGCTCACAGCCTACGCCTGCCTCACGCACATATCTGGAGGGCACAGGTCCTCCTGCCCCCTGGGAGCACGCGCAGCAGCAGGGAGCTGGCCCCACCTGCCCAAGCCTGCAGCAGGAGGGAGCCAGGCTCTACTCCACTGCACTACCTGCCCCCTCCTGCCAGGGGCAGGGGGCTGCAGACCCTGCTCCCATACCCTTGGCAGCTGGGGGTGAGGGGCACCAGCAAGGCTGTGAGGGGAAGGGCACCAGCAGGGCCAGCGGATTGTGCAGGCCTTTAAATTTTAATAATGGACTTGGGGGGTTAATTAGAGAATCTGCAATTTTTTATGAAAGAAGTTGCAATTTTTTTAATCAGGAAAAGCCAGGATCCCTGTTGATTACACAGAAAAGTAACATTAGGAGCATAGGTGTATTTTTAAACTTTCAATTTCTTAGACCCAGATAACAAACCAGTGAACTAGCCTACAGACTAATTTAGGAGATGGAAAAGATCACATATCAGCAACTCCAGTTACTACAGCTTTATGATTTAAAAAAGAAAATGAAAAAAAGTTGCACAATACTTGTTCAATCTCAGAAAAAAAATGATCAGCCAACACACAGTTTGGCATTTATGCTAGGGTACATGTTAGTTAGATCCTACCTTCAGCTGTGTAATCTGCTGTTCCAGTAATACCTCTGATTGACACTTCAGCAGTTCAATCTCCTCCTGGAACTGAAGCTGCTGTTTCATTTTTGCCTCCTCAAACTGAGCTAGGAGAGCTGTCCTCACAGTTTGCACTTCAGAGGCAGAAGCAGAGGCATACATCTGAAAAAGAATTTTTAGGCACAATGTTACCGTTGTGCTGCCCAGAGGAGGTTGGAAGAGAAACTAGTTAGCTCATCAGTTCAGTTATACTTCTGTAACAGTTTCCCCTCCAAAACTCAAAGCCAAATTCTCAGTTGGTACCAAATGCCATCTCAAGTGAAGAATACAAGATCTGATTTCTGGCAAGGTGGCAAAGTTACAGGGAAGTTGAAGCAGTCTACTGTTTCTTATCTCGAGGGTTGTTTGTCATGTATTATAAACCACTTTAAGCCTTTCTGGATAGGGTGGGATTCAAATCTAAACACCAATGCATTATATTACAGTTGGATACACTTTGTTGGATGTATTTTGAAATAAGTTTTAATTAGTGGCTCCTTAGTATACATTAGTAGCTGTAGAGTGTATACTACAAGAATAATGAAGTCAGTCATTTGACACCTTACTATACCATCTGTGCAAATCAGAATTGAATGATGCAAGAAATAATGAGGCTCAGTTATACTTCAATATTACCTCAAAAATATAACACCAATTTAGAAGCTTAAAGTTAAAACATGTTTTTAGTATTCATTAAAGAAGCTTGCTGACTTCTTGAATTCTGTGCATCTACCAGAAATAACAGATGTGGACAAAAGGCTATAGACAGCAAGGTTTTTTTTTTAATTTGCCTAATTCCTATTTTTAAAAACTACATCTACTTAGAGTGTCACAGAAAGTCAACTCAGCTCAAAACAGTCCACTTGTACTCAGGGCTGGACTTCAAGACAATAGTCATTTTCCCTAAATAGACAATGCACCATTAAGTACTGAAGTCTTTATTAGGTGTATATATTCAGCATAATGGAAGTTTTAATTTTTCAGTTTAAAAATAAATAAAAGTAAAGTGAAGGCACTTTAGGGCTGAAAAAATTCCCACATCCACTGGCATTATCAGTTAAGTAAAATCATATTTTATGATAGTAAATCAATTTATGGTTTTCATTAACTTTAGATTAAAGTGTTTAAAACACAGCTACTTTGTCTCATTTCTTTACTGAAGCCTGCAAACCAAAACAGCAGCCAGCTACAGAAATGGCTGTTTATTATAGTAATTAATAAAGCTGAATCAGTTCTATTTTAAAAGATAATCATTTTAGTTTTGGGTGTGTTTGTAGTTCTGACCTCCTGTTCATGTTCATGCTGTACTTTTAGCTTTTCAAGCTCTTTCATCAGCTGCTGGGAATATTCCTCTTTCTGTTTCTGAATTTCTGCAACATGGAGATCCTGAAGTTCCTGCAATGCCTTTTTATGATGTTCTTCCATAATCAGTACTTCTTTATGTAATACATCCAAAGCTTTACGATTTTCTTCCTCCAACAAACATCTTTGATTTTGAAGAGCTGTGTTCAATTCTTCCTATAAAAATATTCATTAAAAAAAGACATTTTGTAGCCAATTCATAAACCCTGCTGCCCTATACATTAAAAGTGCAATTCTCTGCATTGCGAGTTTTCAACTCGGGTAAATTAATATTAACTACCAAAATTTCCTCCTGAGACTTGAGAACATGCTCCAATTACCTTTGAGTTAATTTTTCAAAGCTGTCTAGTCATAAGAAATGACACCTGTGTAGGTCTCCTCAATCCCCAGCCTCACAATTCTTTACTCTCAGGGACTGTTTACACAGGTACAAGTAGGAAATTTAGCTAGAATCAACTAAAGTATTAAAGTGCACTAAATCATTCTGTGGTCATTATTTTGAATAAGCCTTTCTTAATTCAGTTTATCCAAATTCATTTAATGACATCATTCTGAATACCCATGTCTAATACATCTCAAACTAAATTTAAATTCACTTGTAGTTGATTTAGATTAGCTTTCTAAGTGCCCCCACATAGACAATCCCTCACAAGCACATTCTTAACTTTAGGGAGTTTTTTTTTTTTTTTTTTTTTTTAAACCAAACAACACCCTGCTGCTTTACATTACCTTCCCTGTATCAAAGGTGAGGCAAACAGGAATCCACACCCAGCATTAGGAACGCACTAAAGCAGCACAGGAGTCTAGTGAAATGTTAATACAAATTAAAGGTGCTGCCCTGAAAAGTGCTTTCTTGACTCAGGGACTTAAACTAGCTTATCAATGTATTTACCCTGGGTGCAGTAAAAAAGATTTCCCAATTTAGGCTCTACATAAACAAACCAAAGGATACCCCTTTGTGCTGTTACTTGGCAGAAAGAAAAATAATCAGGAGCATCTGTGGGGACTTAATTTCCTAGCAACAAGCTACTACCTTGTCTCTGGGACTTAAATGATATAAGAGAAACAAAGAACCCTCAAACATACTTTGTAAGCTGGTATTTCAGAAGATTGGAACTGTAACATTTTCTGTAGTTTGTTCCAATTAACAAAATTATACCAAACTAAAACTTGAAGGGTTTTTAGATTTACAAACAGATTCTGTAGGTCAACAATACATTAGGTAATTTTGCATCATTTTGACAACATACTAAACAAAACATAATAATTCAATGAAATACAATGGTGTTAGCTTCTAAAAATTCCCCATGCTAACTAAATTGTATTAAAATACTTAATGAAATACAATTCGCTAAGAACAAAATGTTTTACTCTCCCCGTATTAGAAATGAAACAAAGAAATTACTATTTTATCACAGCTCTCTCTCATGCCACCCCTCCATTTATTCAACTTGCCCAAAGAAAATAAACAATATTCAAAATGTGCAATTTACAACCTCTCTGGATGATGTACCAATAAAAAAAAAGTCAGATTATGGGGGAGGGAAACAGGGAAGGGACTCAAAAGGCAGCTATACTAAACTGTCCTTAAAAATTAATCAGGGCTTCCTTATTGGGCTGCAATGCCACTTTCAAAACTTTAAATTATGTGGCATGATATTTAGCAACTGTAGGCACCTCCTAATCTGGGTTTTTGGCAAATCTCATCTTGATATCCACATTTCAAAACAACGATTAAAAAAAATTACTTTATATAAAGCACCTGATTTTACTTCTCCAACATAATAATTATATACAAACAGACAGATAATGTATTATCAGATTAAGTACAAGAAATGAAGAAAAAGCACAAGCTATTTTCTCATTCCCAAATGCTAGGACTTTTATATTTTTTTTCAAATGCAGTGCAAAAAAAGGGAAATCTTCAGATTGAAAAGGTGAATGGCAAATCAAACAGCAAAGCGAGTATGTACCCTACCTAACTTGGATACTCCTGGCAGTGTAGCCACAGCAGCATGGAATTCAGTGGTGCAAAGTCAGCTGAACAAACTGAGTAAAACTCAGGTAAAGACCCCTTAGCGGAGTTTTATGCTGCTGTAGCTACACTTAAGAGTACTGAAGCCAGCGTGGCTATGTCAAAATGAGCTACTGTCATTGAAGTGCCTGAAGTGCAGACATACCTTTAGAATGTAAACTTTAAAATTAATTACATTTAAATACAAGTAAGCTTATAAACCCTTTTGTTTATAATAGAATAAATAATTATTTCTTCCATCATGATGGAATTTACTTACAGCTCTCATGAGCAAATGGAATTAAACACCTACAGAATACACATTTAACAATGAGCACTTCTCAGATAAAAGTCAGACATCAGACAGGACTATCTTATTGTATTATTCCTCTCACCCACCTTATGAACTTCTTCCAGTTCAGCACCCATGGCTTTAAGTTTTTCTATATGAAGAGTAGCCAGTTCAATTTTCAGATTTTCGTGGGAAAGGTGCAGCTCTTCAGAATGCTTTAATTTCAACCTCTCTTTCTCCTCAGCTAAGAGCACTTGATTCTCCTTATCCTTCTGATGCAGCTGTTCTCTGTGGTTCACCTGTAGTTCCTCAAGAGTTTTCTTGTGCTCATCTCTTATGTTCTGAATTTCAGAAAGGTATGAAGACTCCAAAGAATCCAGATTAGACAAGTGTTTAGCCTCCAACTCATCAATTTGTGCTTGATGCTTTGTTTGCAGCTCAGCTACATGAGCTTCAAGCAGAGCCTGCTGTTTGCTTTGTAATGTAGATTTAAGGGCCTCAATTTCAGTTTGGTGCTTTGTCTGCAGCTCAGCTGTGAGGGATAAAATCTGTTGCTTATGCTTCTCCTGTAATTGCTGACTTTGGAGTTCTAGCTCATTTATGTGTTTCCCCTTCAACTCTTGGAGGAGAATCTCTTGCTCTGTTGTGAATGTTTGAGTCATAGCTTTGTGTTCCTCCATAAATCTAAATTATTTCCAAGAAAATTTAAATTAAAACATTGTCAATAATGCACAGATAAGATCCAAAGAATAAAAAAAATAAGTAGGCAAAAAAAAATTAAGCCCAAAATATATTTCATTATGAGACACTCCATAGCTTTTATCTCTAGACTAGCCAATTGCCCATCAAGAATGATGGGTGGGGGGGCGGGACGGCCAGGGACGGAGGCCTGTGTCTGGCCC